AATCAAAGCTTGCAAACACTTTCCATTAAACCTTTATTTGCACACTTCTTTCAAATCAAATAATAAGATAAAGCACATTCAGTGTCTTAATCTCCATCAGTCTTTCTGTCTCCCCAGTTACTTACAGTACTTAAGAACACACATATTGAAATACTCCAGATTTGTTACCTCTACTGAACTCACTTGCCCCACGATCCAGAACCAAAAAGAAAGAATCAAATGCAATCCAGAATGCCTTTGTGGAGTCTTTGGAAAAAAATCACACAAACATGTGATTGTAATGCAATGTGGGTCTTGTAAGGTACTGATATTAACAGATACCGTATGTGTAGAAATGGTTATTAAGAAAGGGGTGTTGATTGCACAAAGTGGAATCTCACCATTTTTTAGTTTTAGAACCATATAAACTTTTCTGTTCAAACACACAAGGCTCCATGAATTCAACTACTGTATAGGAGTTATATCATGGTCATCAGTACCTGGACTTTTTTAAATATGTTTTGGAATCCAGATACAGATATTGCTTTTGAAATCTTTTCAATGGCAGAATACCAGCAGGATCAAATGAATGATAGATTCTGAACACCTCAGGAGAGACTGCCCGCTCTTGGAAGTATTGTCCGATAACAATGTGTCACTGGCTGATGAAACTCAATGATAAATACTGGATTCCTGTGGTGTCTCTGTGTGCTTACACATTCTCATTTTTGATAGGATCCCCAGAAAGCAAACCATGCGTCCACAACAGCTGACAACACTTCCAACTGGCTTCTAGAGAGAGTCAATCTCTTCCTTTCTTTCTTTTTTCTGTAACTTCTTCACTTCCATTGAACAATACATCTCAACAACAGCAAGACGGAGCAGGATACACTGACAAACCCAAGATGTCACACTTTCCTGGGAATAAATATCTTAAATCCAATGCAGGGCCACTGCATGCATAAAAGCATGAATTAATTGCTAATTTGGATAATAATTATACTGTATAATTGCTTAGTAGGAGATATGCATACAAAAGACTTCTTCCAGCAAACTACAAATTGGGCAAAGCGAGTAATTATAATTCTGTTGTGCTTTTGTTTAAGACCTTATAAATTGGACAACTAATGAGGCAACGCCTATTATTCTGTATGTTTTTAAAAACTACCTAACTGTTCAACTTTACCAGTTGGGAGAAGAGAGTAAAATTAGACTGGTTCCCCTTCATGAGTGGGGTCCTGTGTTGTATCCTATCAATTCCAGATAGGCTCTAGGTGGCCCTGACTCTTACCAGCCCCATTATATTCTAATAATAGATGGAAAGAAGAGTACAAACACACAGATTTACTGCCGAATGATACATATCTTAAATCATATTTAATGTTACTTCATTGCATGTATATTAGTGCAGACACCAATTTTCAGTTGCTAAGCAACCGCAGGATAGTTTAACTTTCTGCTCTTTTTTTTATAACGCATACAATTAGTTTCTAATAAGAATTCAGGTCAGATTAACAGAGTCAATTTCCTTATGCAAAAAGTGATTGGAAAAATAATACATTTTAACACTTTTTTTTCTCAGACTCTGTGACACTGCACATAATTTAGAACATGTAAATTAATTTTCCATTTAATATTGCATACTACAGGTTGTACAGCAGAACTATGAAATACAGTATACAGTAATAGAAAATGTTTGGAACCAAGCTCATTAAATTCTTCACATTGAACATTTTAAAAATAACTTGCTTTGACTTAAAACTCATATATTTATTTTTTCAGAAATTATCAAGGAGTAAACAACATTGTTAGGGTAACAAATATTGAGAATAACTGGGAAGAAGGGAAATGTAGTCTATATGGGGTGTCTGACAGGTTTTCCATATGGTGGTAACCCAGGGAAAAGACTTTGGCAGTATGTTACCTTACATTCCCTTGGGTAAATCTTTAACTCACAAACTTAAATAGCAAGGGTTGGAAAGAAATTGCTATTTTGATCAGGGGAAGGCAGAGAGAACAGAGCAGAGAGAACAATACCATGAAGTTTATGGACAAATGGAAATGTCTTGGCACAGAATGTGTCAGACTGAAACACAAAGGTCTTTGGGGAGAAGATTTGCGCTTCTTTTCATCTGTTCGTCAATCTTTTGCATGCTTAGATCAACCCTTATGTCAAACACTCTGTTTCAAACAGCCGATGTTTGCGATAGTTTATGTGAATAAATAAGGTCTGACGTAGCCAACGTGGCTGTGCAGACCCACAAAATATATATACTGAAAAGGACTAAATATAATTAAATAGCTTTATGAAACATGCTGTGTATACCAAGTACTGTAACTTACTGTATGTACTGTATGTGTACTCTTCGTAATCCGTACGTGTCTGTGTGTATAAATGCATGCACATTATTGCATAACAGCTATAAAATTATACATTTTCAGAACTAAAAGAGTAAAGTGAAAATTAAAGTATATCTGCAGTGTGAGGGGCAGAAGCAATCTTCAGAATTTAATGCAGAGACATCTTAAAATGGTCCGTGATAAACTTTGTAAGGTAATGGAAAATAAAAGTTATTTTAAGTTCAGGTTAGAGCAGGACCCAGGTCTAGCTCTAGTCAAAATGTTCGGCAATTCCACCATCCGTCTGCCTCTATCAGCATGCAGTTTCTTTTACATTTTCTCATTAAAATGTTTGATCTTGTTTTCAGGTATGAAGGTAAATCAACACGGCCTGCTAAGGTCTCTAGGACAAAGTGCTTTTCGGGTTTGCAGTTCAAAGAGATGCAAAAAGCCATTTGTTGTGTTTGCCGGATTTCACAGAGAATCCTACTGTATGGCCGAGCCTTGAACCTTGTTCTTCATCCCCAGCAGAGGTATGACAAGTGAGGGAGACACGTCTGCAGTACAATATATATATATTTAATCTGAAAAGAAGTCGGGTGAGGAAGGTAAATGAAGAAAGTCGAGGCATTCCATCAAGGCTCTGTCAGGGCTTGTGACTAGTGAGGCATGCAACAGCCCTGTAAAATAACAGCCTTGCCTTGATGCTGTGTCTCGGACCGCAGTCCGTGTCACAGTGCTGCACCAGTGCGAGTAAGCAGACCAGAGCTTGTGCTGTGATTGAGAATTAGATATGGAAGATCGTGATGAAAGTTGGGAGGTGGGGGGTCATCATACCACCTATCTTTTACATAATACCCTAAATCCCACAGAACATAAATTAAAAAAAAAAACAGCAGGCTCTAAAGCCTATCAAATGAGTTATCATTTCTTCTAGCGTGCTCTCAGTTGTCTCTTAATGCATTAACACAACCTTGCTAGCGTTCCGGTATTAAATATTAAAGAACAGGTTGAGCATATCAGTCTTTCCTTGACTGCTTCACATGCATATGATTTCTCTCTTCCGTTAACAATTTTGAGACTCAAAGGTTCTGTGTCTCAGAGGACGGGCGAAGTAGGGTTTCTAATTATTGCCGATTTTATTGGAAAGGCTTGTTTTAATGCGTTGTGTTAAATGTTTTTTTTTTCTCTTTAGTTTTAAATTCGGGATATTCCAAAAATGACGGAGAGAAGAAAAAAAACGGATAATGCGTTGGTTATTTACAGTACAGAGGTAAAAGGGCACTTGGCAAAGCTTGGATGAAAAATGAAACCCATTTCATGTGTCAACCCGGCTGAAAAGATTTTTAATGAAATCTTTTCAGACGCTGTAGGCACTGGTGAAAAATACTACTTCTGAAACCCCCCAAAACACCAATTACAAATGGATAAAAAGAAGGGGAGGAATTCATATTCAAAGTTAATTAGATGTGCAGACGCTTCCAAATAAACCTTCGCCTCTCGCAGACCATATTACTGTACATGTTTTTTGAACGGCGGGGGTGGGGTAGTGATGGCTGGGAAACTACAGGGAATCAACTGATCGCGTCCGCCAGCGAGGCAGCCCTGTGTTTTTTGTGAGTGGTGCTGATATGGACAGCTCCGGCGAACACAGCAGGACAAAAAAAAAGCGTTTGCTTTCAGCCTGGACAAAAATCCTTTCTGTGCTCATGAAAAGGAATTCTAAAATACACTCGTTTCCTTTATTAACATGACCAAATATACGATTTCATTGTAAATTTGTTTTAAGACATCGGCACTGTGCCCTGACTGTCCATTTGCATGTGTAGCCACGTACTAAGCCAGGAGTGACTCCCTTTTCTGTTATACCGAAACTAACAACGAAATTCGCTGGACAGAAGAAACACCGTGCATATTTTTTTTTAAATGTCATGCAGACATACTGTATGGGCATGCTATAATAAAATATCCAGGTAACTCAATGAATGCTCTTTCCCTCCAAGAAATCCTCAAAAGCTACACGCTGACACATGCAGCAAAAACCTTCCGTGTCCGAAAACTAAACTTATGTTGTACACTTTCTTTCACGTTGGTCTAAGTTTATTAACATAAGTACAGGAGCAAATATATTCTCAGACAAAAATGATCGCCTCTCCCGCCCGCAGGCCAGGAAAAATTAAGAAACACGTAACAGGTCGACACCAGCAATATATTCCTGTTATATCGCCTAGGTAAAGCTTATCTAGAAAGCAAGAAAATAAAAGGGAACAGCAGAAATCATCATTCATAATTTTAACGCATTTCTCAACTAGTTTCGAACTGCGTGTGTCACCAGATCAGGACCAGATAGCGCCAAAGGTTTTGCTATGGCACTTTAGAGATGTTCTTCAGTCGATGATATTTGGATTTCGATCGATTACAGAGATTGATTCTGTCTTATTCATCAGGTTCTCATTTAAATCAACCAAGAGGTATGAGTGAAAGGATTTTAGCCCCCAAATTATACTGAATAACGGTATTCCCCAAAACCAGAACTTGAGACAATAGGCACGATTTCATAAACTCATCCGACACCCCTAAAAAGGCTAGACACTTATTTCACTAGTTCCCAATTATCTGCCTTAATTCAACTTGATTTATCTAACCTTAATGAAATCTAACAGATCGAAAGATTCATTTACCTGATTGATGCAGAGAGAAAGGAGTCTCGTCTCACTAGTCGGTGTTAATGTAGAAATGTTGATTTTATCGCCGGCCCCTTGATAAATACTCCTGCAACAAGAACCAAAGTTGATGGAATGAATCATTATATACAGTATGTATATGTGAGCTGCATGGATGTCCAGTCCAAAAACGAAAGCGTGGAATTAACAAGAAACAAGTGTTGAAAGTAAAGTAAAATCTATTAATACCATATAATTATTAATTAATTATTATCCATGCAAGGTCCATGTTGTGTCCATCCAAAACTTCCTCATGCCCGAACACAATATACTGTATAAAATTACCTTAATACTTGGTCTACTTGAGTACTGACCGATGCGGTCGTTTTCAGCATCCTAGGAACGTGAGCGCTCAATTCGAGAATACTTAGGAGCAAATAGCCTCACATTCAGCGTCCCCACACCGAAAGTGTTCCCGGAGCCAATGAGATGTTTAGTTCGTGCATGATTTATACTGTTGGTCGCCCATACTAGAGTCATTTAGTCCAATAATCAACATCCATCACTAGCCCTTAGTTCCACATTTTGCAGCGCGAGCGAGAAATACCGGTTCTCCAGACAACAAATTAGAAGCCTCCAGCGTGTAGCCTGTGGTACGCCTACAGCGACTCCCAAGAAATGTTGGCACGTAGCACGAATGTTTGCGATACGAAGGTGATTGAACATCATTAAGTGACAGTTTTCATTAAGCTGAGCACCGGGGTCCTGTCTAGAAACACATTACAGATGTACACAGCCCTCTGCTGCTGCATAAATCCATTCAGGTTTCTTTGGGTTGTTAACTGACATTTGGGTAAAATTTTGAGAAAAGTAAAGCAATGTTAAAAATAAGTAAAAAGATTAACCAGGCTGCTATGTTTAAGTCGTGTAGTTTTACATATTTTATTCTCATGTTCCGAAATGCTATGCTTAGCATCTACGGTGCAAGCACTCCTCGGACACTTTTATCTAAAAAATCATTAGTCACGTATGGTTTAATCTAAGGCCACCCCTTTGCAAACTAAGTCATCAAGCAAAAAAAAAAAGTGAGAAAAAAAAGCTCAAAACTAAAATGATGGGTTGGGATTTTTATCAGTTTAACAACAAAAGGGTTTTATATTGGAAGATACGCAAGAATTATCTGGTGTAACAGTTCTCACATTAAACAATAAAGATAAGAAATAAAAATATTACTCCCACCCCGTCCCAAGATATTATAGTCCGAGTTGTACACTATTTCATTTCAACTTAACTCAAATGTAAACAGTTTAACCTGAAGTTAACCGAATTCGCGTTATACAGTAGCATGTACTCCGGTTTCATCCCACAGTTCACAAACATACCGTACTGGCAGGTTAATCGGTTTCTGGGACATTTGGCACTGGTGTGAGTGGGTGCGTGTCAGTGTCTTTGTGTCTGCCCTGCGATGGATTGGTGTCCTGTCCCGTCCAGGGGGGAGCCTGTCTTGCCGAGACGGACTCCGGCTCTCTCAGGAGCCTGTACTAGAAGAAGAGGTCAGAAAACGGGTGGACAAGAATCGTTTAATGTCTGTCTTTAAAGGCAACCAATTGGCAGGTTGTGTATCCTTAATCACCTGAGAACCTGCTCAACCGTCGCATTTGTGCGTGAGGACGAGAATGCACCGAATGCCAGCACTATATAGTGTTGCTTACGTTGAACACTACAGAAATCACGCTATTATACAGTATACGCGATCAGGATTGCCGTAGTTTGTGCCCACTGGCTGTTGTCCTGTTCATGTCACTTACACCCTCTTGTACAGTATGTGGCGTTTGCTCCTCTCACTGAAGAATCGCCATACCACAGTCCGTATACAGTAGGTACTCCTCAGATCGAAGTGTGGTTATCACGTTTCTTAAACGCGGATCCTTTTCCAGTACTGTAATGGCACGGGGAGCAGCGGAATTGGAGACAGGGCCACAGTACTATGCTGTCAGCTACAGCAGTAGCAGTAACACCTGGACGGGGCGCATTCCTCTGCCAACTAGTGCTGGCCACAAATTACTGTATATCCACGAAAAAATGTCTTCTCAATTCCGGTGGCTTGGTGTTGGCAAGTTTCCTTTGGGTGCAATGGTGCACAAAATACGATGCGACTGTACATTTGAGAAATTTGGCGTTGGTCAAAATAGAACCATAGTCAAGACATAACGCAATGCTGTAATTTGTTATTTCTATGGAGAACCCGATTTTGCCATTTCATTCAAGTGAAGGCGACCACTCATGTCAGTCATCTTCAAGAACCTTCATTTTCCTTTTCTAGATTTGAATTTCTCGTTCGGCAAGCCCGTGTGGTCATGGTACAGCGGTTTCTGAAAGGTCTTTAGCATCCTAACCTCGTCAAGGTGGATCCCTTGAACGAATTCATTTCTAAACTTTCATGGGGTTCCACGTCACAAGTGGAGAAGTTGGCGAGTCCCTTTTCTGGTGTGGATTTTTTCCGTTTTTTTAACTTGACGCCGGTTTTCAAACTTTATTTTCATATGCGCTCAGTGAGGCTGGACTTAAATAAAACCCCGCAACGTTTAAAACAAACAAGGGAAGCACTGCGTTGCTTTATTTAAAAATAAGGCGTTACTTGCACAGTACAAATAACCTGATATAAAAATCAAAGAGAACCGGTAACAACCTGCATACAGTACGTCGCTGTAGCTGCGATAACATTGGAATCATAACCATCTGGATACAATTCCAAGCGTTATTAGACTTTGGCAGAAAGCTGGAATTTAAACCAATTTTTCCTTTTTTTTTTTAAAGTTGAATGGTGAAGCCAGAGACGTGGACATGAATACTATAGGAAAAGCTTCAAGAAGAAATAACGCTATCTTTCAATAAGTGTATATGTACTGTATAAGTTTAAAACAATGACCGGGAATAATTCTCTCTTCTTGGCTTTAAATTCGACTAATGGAACATATTGCCCGGTGTCAGAGGCTTATAAACAATATCTCCTTCCTCTCACGTACTGTGTGGTGCTTGTTTTTGGACTGGCTTTAAATGGAACTCTGCTCTGGCAGATTTTTTGCAGAACGAAAACCTGGACCTGCTCGGTGATTTACTTAGTGAATTTAGCGGTGGCCGACCTCCTGTATGTCCTGTCTTTGCCTCTGCTGATTGTGAGCTACGCTATGGACGACGTCTGGGTGTTCGGCGATTTTGCTTGTAAGGCGGTGCGTTTCTTTTTTTACACTAACCTGTACTGCAGCATCAACTTCTTGATGTGCATCAGCGTCCACCGCTTCCTGGGAGTGTGCTTTCCTTTGAGGTCCATGCCTTACCGGACGAAAAAACTCGCAATTCTCGCCTCAGCAGCAACCTGGATCTTTGTGACTACAGAGCTCTTACCGACGGTTGTCTTTGCCCGTTCAGGCGTTATTAACAACATGACTGTGTGCTATGACTTGACCAGCCCCGATAACTTCCAGGCATACTTCCCCTACGGTGTGGTTCTGACCATCACGGGTTTTCTGATACCCTTCCTCATCATATGCGCTTGCAACTGTTTAATGATTAAGACATTATGGAGGGCTGAAGAAAAAATTAACGTTGGAAAGGAAATCCGCCGAAAATCTGTTCGGACCATCACGGTGGTATCCCTCCTTTTTGTGCTTTGTTTTGTGCCTTTTCACATTACCCGCATGATCTACTTAATCGTTCGTGTGGACTTCACTGAAGATTGCACTGTTCTTAATTTTGTCATGCTTTCGTATAAAATCTGGAGACCGATCGTGAGTTTTAACAGCTGCATCAATCCGATTCTTTATTTTACATCGACAGACAGCCAGAGAGGTCGCCTTCTTGCTCAGCTAGGCAGAAATAAAGTACACCCGGCTGTCAAAAGTAATAAGCCAGCCCAAGGCAACAACAAACCGGAAATAAGAACTTCGGGAGAGAAGCACACAAAACATTAGACACCTGTCGGATTTTGTTGCCAAGAACACATGGACTGCAAATCAGAGATAAAGGCAACCAAGCAAACAGAGTGGACACTGTGAAACGACAGGCAGAGATGGAAGTACTAGATTATTAAAATGCTTTAAATTGACTGGAAAAAATGGCTTGCATGAACAGATTTTCTTTGCTATTCAATTAGAGGATAGTCAGGTCAACACCGAGTACAGTTGGATGTAAAGAATTCAGCTTTCGAAAATAAAGACGGGGGTGAACACGGTTTTATCAGGACACTTCAGCAACCAAAAATAATTCTGATAATGTCTTGCTTTATGCTTTATTTCACGCGCTCTGGAGAGTTTATCCAGTTTTAAATGGGAACTGCAGTCCCAACTTCTCAGACCGGTTATTAAATCTTGGTAACTAAACAATTGACGGTAACACAATTTTACAAATTCCGAATTAAACACAAAACTCTGAACTTTGTTGAAGTACTGTATAGTTGCCATTTTATTGCAAATCCATGATCTCTTCATGGGTGAGAGCCAGAGTTTGCGAGAAATCACAAGGTGATATACCCCTTCCTGCTCACTAGTCACTCTAAAAACTAATGTAATGTGATGTACAGGTGAACATATACACCCTGCACAGTAGACACATCACCACAAATGTTCCAACGTGATCCGCAGAGTTAAACGAAACATGAAATTTAGTCTATTTTGTGATGTAAATTGGAGGCTTTACACGTTACTGTGTACATTTCATTGTGGTTTGATACACACTCGTCGATGCCAATTCGAACCCCAAAATATTGAAGTAGCGACGCAGTTCCTTTTTAATGTCCTGAAAGGAATTTCTGAATTGTATAAGATGCTTCCTCAAAGCAGACTTGCAATAGTTTTCCAAGTTAAATACATGACAAAAGCCATTATTTAGGCTTTGTCTTTTGCAGGCAAACTTTAATGGGGAAAGGGTGACTTTGATCATCTTGTTCAGAGAAAATTACACTGCATAAGCTTTTTTTGGTGTTTGAATATTTAAGTATAAACAGTTGTACTGCAATTTTATTAGAACCTTCTGAGCCATCCTATTAAAATAATGCACAGGAGTACTTCAAACAACTCAGTGTACTAGACTTATTTGCCATTTCTGCAATTAAGATCAGTTATAAAATTTGGCCTTGCAAAACTAGTGTTGTTACATGTATAAAGTCAACTTGACAGCAACGGCAGTATGAAGAAACTTTATTTGAAGCTTGGGAATAATGGACCAGACTGACAAATTTGCATGTACAAAAAAATATTCTTCTCATGAATTAAAGCAAATTTCATACTCCAAAAAACACAGCCTACTGATGTTTACATTCCTTTAAATGAACGGGCTTTCCGATACCAATCAACATTTAAAAAAAACATGCAGAGGTATGGGATTCAGCTAATATTCAAGTATGTTTAGCACTACTGACAATAAGGATACCTAAAATAAAATTATCAGAACTTCATGTGTTGGGAGTGTATTGCAGTAAGTAAACAATTAAAATTCACTTACAGTGTCAATATCTTAGAGAAGCTGAATCCAAGTAGGACAGGTTGATTCACACACTGGATAATGTATGGTCACACTTTAAGACTTGAGATGCATAACAAATGTTACCTAGATATACTGTAAGTATGTTTGCAAACAGTCTAGGTTTAAGCCAAAAAAAGCAATGCCTTTGAGTTTGTAACTCATCTTTACCGAAGACCATGCACAACTGCAGTATTGAAGAGTTTCATCTTGCATAGGTGCTTTTCACGCTTGCCATCCTTATGCTTATAAATTCAAAATATTTTTTTTTTGAAAGCAAACTAATGACACAAATACATTAATTAACCCATACGTCCAAGGCCAAATTATCTGCTGTAGACAATTTGAACAAAGTTATCACAGTGTAAATGAAGAAATATTAACCTAAATGTAAAAAAGTACAATCAATCACTTATGGGTTTTTAAAAAAGCACCCACAAGAAAAAAAAAATATTCTACAGATCACAGGGTTTTTAAAATCCCACCTTTAAGGTGCATCACAGAAGAATAATTCCCAAAACACCAAGTTACAGTAAACACAGTACAGAATGAAATTTTCTGATCAGGACTTCAATCCAAGCCTCCTTTCAAAGACTTTGGCTTAGGTAGTTGTAAAAGTAACAACTATTTAAGGACACTCCTGTGTGCTAATGAAGACAGGTGGGTACAATAGTGGTCAGGCAGCTGCAGACAAAAACCAAAAATGACTAAGAACACTACAGCTGAAGAAATTTAAAACAAGGAAGGGGGGGTAGGAGACATCACAAATTAGTGCTCAATTTTAAAGATGTATAAAAAGGATCAAATTTACATTTTAAAAAGTCTTCCAAGCCAATCCAGCAGTAAATGTAGGCGTTACTTTTTGTCTAAGTAAGCCTGTGCTGGAAAACCTATACAATAGAGACCCCTGCAGCTGTTGTACATCTACAGCCTTGCAGTGAAGTCAAGGAGAAATGTGGTTCCTGCGGTCAACACCAACTCTGTTCCGAGCAACCACTGCCAGAATGCTGAACACAAAAAAATTGCTTTTTCAAAGAAGTCTACCAAGCTGTCACAGTTATCACTAAATGCTTACCTGTGCACCAAGCCTGGAAAGATAACGGTTTCTCAGTCCAAAAGCTGACATGGGCTTCAATCGGGCTAAGTCCTCATCTTTCTGCTGGTGCACGTGCACTCTTTTCTCAGTTCTGAAAAGATAGGAATTGCATTCAAAACCAGAATATTTATCTATATATTTCCAAGAGTAATTAGCTAAGGGAAAAATCTTATGGACAGGAGCATTCAATAGTTCATTACAAATGTTTCCCCATGTTAGTCAAAACAAACAAGACAAACTGAATAGGAAACAAAACGTTTATTTTACTTCATGAATACACTGCAGAAGTACAAAGATTACATACGCAGCAGGATTTGATCTCATGTGGACGCGAGTGCCCAGCAGGGTCACAGATGTCAGACTGAAAGAAGCTTCAGGATACTCATCCTTCTCAAAATTACATTAGTAAAAGAATGGGAGCATTAAGGAAATGTAAAATCTGTTAAACCAAAGTGCATTGGTCCAGAAGCTGCTCTGCAGTCTACAATTTAAAAAGATTTTCAAGGCAACATTATATAGTGACGCATTTCTGTAACATTAAACATTAATCTGTAACATTAAATGTAGCAGCCTTTAAAACACATTGAAGCAGCAATACAAAAATTACTCTTATAATGCTCTAAATTTGAAATGGTATATAAATCTGATTTTATATTCAAACGAATATATACAGAGTGAAAATTTTGCAAAAACCTTTACAGTAAAAAACACCATTTGATTATGTACACGCTTCACATGAATAGACTAATGTTAAAAGGTAATTTACCCCCATATACCATCACCTTAAACACAAAAGCCTACAGAATTTCTGTAGTATTATTTCAGTCACACACAGGTTAGCTGTAGAAAATGATTGTGTCAGTGTTTGTGGTAATGCCCAAGGTGAGAATGTAATTGAGAATTGATTCTTCAGCTTGAGGACTTGGTGACCACTGGAAGTTTACTTCAGGATGCTACCCAATATCCTCACCTGTAAGACATTACAGTATAGTGAAAGTTATTCGAGAAAATTTGTGAGTGCGGAAAGCATGCAGGTTAGACAAAATGAGGCAAGCACTGCCATGTGTTACAAAATATTTAGGGATCACACAGGCACACAATGGTCAAAGACAAGTTGTCAAAACAGTGAAGTGGGATAAAAACCAAAACAGAATGGCAACAATATTCCAACTCTGACTAATGTTGTGCAGAACCCCAGAGCATCCTGAACTCAGTTTACTTGTATTTAGTGAAAGGAAAGAACAAAACACTTGAAAAAACTCACACCATTTTAAAACACCCTCCCAGCTGTGTTGTGTTTGAAAAACTTTTTTAGCAAAGTATAAGGATCAATAGCAGAAAAACAGATGTTCTAGAACCATTGCTATGAAATGCTAAGCCTACAAGTCAAACATATGCCGTGTACTCCTGCCAGATTATCCTAGCAATAGTGATTGATTAACTGTGCCTTTGAACAAGTGCAAAAAGATCGATAATCCCAGAGTTTATGGTCACAGGCAAAGTGGGGGTACTTGAAAAGTTTAAACTATCAACACAGACCTTCTTACTTTACTACAAGATTTCAACTCAACCTCATGCTTTCTACTTACTCAGCTGCCGAAACCTCTTTAAGTTTTCCTCTCTGGGATGCTGATAGATTAAGTTCTCCTCCTAGAATTAAAAAATATATATTTTAAACCATAATCACAGTGATAAAGAAGACATAAAATGCTTGTGTCAAGCTTCACTGTCTTACCTCTGAGAAAATCTACGAAGTACAGTACCACCACAGCTATCAATGCCACTAAAAAGAGGAGAGAAGAATTCAACAGTGACCTTTGCAATTGCTCTGTAAAAGACATTCCAATTAGACATTAGAGCAGAAAATGTGTTCCATCTAACCACTCTACATATTACAGAAAAGTAATTCTACATTTTTGAATGTAGAAAACCTTAAAATTCCACAGTGCCATAGTTCCATATGGCTCCATATGGAACTATGAAACTATTCCATAGTTCATTCCACAGTGCTTACAACAAACGCAGGAACTGAAGAAGACTTCAAGAAACAAATATCCCCGACTGTCCAGTATGGATCCAGCAGCAATAGAAATTAGGGCAAGTCCTAAATTCTGGATGGACTGCATGCTGAAAAGAGAGGAACAGAAGTGAAAAGTTATTGCCATCTTCTGTACTGAATCTCAATGGTAAATAAGAACAAATCAACCGATAACTGTTATTCCAGCTTCAATTAAGCAAAACATATAACCATGCTTGTTTTTATGTTCAGCTCTAATAGAAAAGGCAGACAGTTTTAAATGCTGTGCTACATCTCCATATGTTCACTTCATCTGAATCACTTACAAGCCATAGGCAGTTCCCAGTTGATGTTCTGGAACAACAAAAGCCACCATTGGCCACAATGCGCAAGCAAGAAGTGAATACGACAGTCCCAGTAAACACTAAGAGAGAAGGGAGAACAAAAACGAACATTTGCAAGTCACCGCTTAAGAAGAAAAACAAAAAATGTCTCTGGCATTTACCAATTAGTGAAGATTAAAACCTTTAAAATTTTCCGATCTGTAATTTTAATAACCAGGGCAACCTCACTAAGTACAGCACCACATTCCCAAGTCTTTTGACATATTGCTTTGCCAATATCACTAAAATCCTAGAAGAAAACCACTTCTTAATCCCTATAATACCAATGTTTACATACTGAAGGCAGTGTCACTAATATTTCATGGCAAAAAAAACTTGTAAATGTTTATAAAAGAGAATTAAAAAAAAGGTGTGCAACAAGGGTTAAAAGAATAAACACTCAATGATCTGCAACATCTTTTCAACATGCATAGAAGGTCAACGAGTTTATGCCAGCAGATGCTTTTGTTTAATGAGGCACTACACTTAATACATACTGTACATGTCTCCGACACCACACTGCAGCTATTCTGCATGAACAAATGTCAGGAAGTGTTACCATTGCTATCCAGGGGTTCCAGAAGGTAAAAGCAAGCATCAGATGTGCCGCAAGAGTGGTCAATACAGCGCACAGAACCCAGATCACATTCTTCCCAACTCTGTCCACCAAAAACCCCAAAATGGGAGATGCAGGGGCTGAGATGATGTATACAATGCTGTGGAAAAATTAAAGCCAGGAATTACTACTTGTTCAAAAAACAGACAAATTAACTCTAATGAAGCAAAGACTAGTTTGTGAGAGGTCAACACCACCACACCGAACCTTGCTGCATGCCAAATGAGGCCCAGATTTTTATTAAAATGCTCCAAATGAGGTATATTTTACCAATATACATTAACACAGATGTAGTCTAGAATGGGAACTTGCCTGTTAATTGCTCTGGCTTGAGCTGGAGAAAAGTTGAACTTTTCAATGAAGAAGACCCTAAGAAAAAATGTTAGAAAATCTATTGAAATTGGGCTGGACAAATGATTATTCAAAATCTAATTGGTATATGAATGGGATATAAATAGGCTTGACTACATTAACTTACAGATATAAATTGATTTATCCTGTTGAAAGCAACTCTAATTACTGCTTTCTATTAGTATTCTACAGAAGCTTAAAGCTGGAACCTAGTTCTGAATATCCTTTTCATTTATCAAATTAATTTAACAAAAGTCCTTCATCACTAGGTTGCTACGTAATATCAGTAGGAGCTGCCTCTGTTCACTATCACGAAAACAAAATGGCAGATGTCTTCTGTCCAAGCTTTATCTGTCAAAATTCAAATAGTACTTTTTCCATTAAACACAGCTGTTTAGTTTATGCTATTTCTAAAGTTTTGTGTACACTTACTGGCCAAGTCCAATGAATGGAAAGACTGCTACATAATAACCAACACATATCAGGAAAATGAGCCACAGGGAAAGTGAGAAATCTTTCACATCTGTCAGCTTAATAACTTCACCTAAAGAAAAAACAGAAACAACCTGAGGCTTTACCAAGAAAACATTTCAAGCATTCTTAAAAAAAAAATATCAACTCTAATCATGATAAATCCTGGACTACCTAATATTAAGTGCAGGGAACCTGCAAGAAGATGTACAAATTCAGACTGCAGTTAATTTATGAAGACATGTTCTGCACATAATATATGCAATAAAACATATTGTTGATAACTTCAGATTAAAGGTTAAGTATAAGGCACCACACCAAGTGGGGACATTCTGAGAACAATATGGTTCATGAGGCTCTGACTAGCATTCCAATATTTGTCCTGTCTGTATTCACCCAACTATTATTCCGTAAACTGTGACCATCAAGATGAAGGAACTTGGGCTTTCCAGCTCTCAAAGCCGAGACCAAGAAACTTCTAGAGTAGCTGATCATTCCTGTCATGTGAAAAACCACAGTTCCGACTCTTTGTTAAAGAACAGGACTCACCGGTTTTACCCTGCTCTTTGTTTAAGATTCTCTCGGCTCTCTTGTCTAGGTAACCCAGGATCAGTGCACAAATTAAAGAAAAAATACAAGTGGCAGAACCTAAAAAATAAAGAGCAGCATAGGTCAATCTAAAGGCAAGAAATCACTTAATTTTTTCATTTCTGGTCACTCACAGAAGAACAGGAAATAAGTCAAGTATGACAATACCTGGACCATGCAGAAAGTATCAACAGAACTATGCAATGCCATTTCTTGACCTGACATCTGCATCATAGCAGTATGTTAGTACTGTATCTCTCATTAGAAGTGAAACCTTACACAGCAGTAGGTCTTGAAAAAAGTTGAATACATCAAAAAACAATATCTGTACAGGAGTGAGAAAATTTCAGGTTGCAAGCTAATTACAATTAAAAATGTTGATTGAGTCGAATTTCAAAAACTAAGAATGATCATTGTCATATTCAACAATGTAAGGATTATCTAAGGTTCCTATAACAAAGTGTATTACTTACAGGTACTGGACTAAAATGTACTTTCAGGTTTCCTTTACATCTATAAAAACATGAAGCCTTTGAAACCCTAACCCACCATCAGTGCTGGTATTTAGTCACATGCAGCCAAGGAAATGGAAGCTGAACTGTATTGCAAAATGAAACTGCTTACGACAATTTGTCCAGAACATGTACATATAAACGGGATAAAGTTACAAAAACTTGGCAATGCCGATACAACAATGACACAGTGTTACTCTATTTGACTAGACTAAGGATTTTTTTTTGAGCACCCAACCAAAACGCAAGGCCTGCATCTTAAAATTTAGCAGCTTAAGATCCCCCTTTCAAAAGATTTTAAAATCTTAAAATTCTGGATTTTCTGGATTATTTGACAATAGGACTCTTGAAACCATTCTTGCCCAAAAAAAGCAAAAGAAGTTCAGAAAAGATCATGAAGCTCCATTAGCCAGCAACAGACTGGGCACACCTATCATCAGAGTAATGCCCAGTGTGGTGTGGCCTGAAGATCCCACCAGGGCCGCTATCCTCGAGTAGATCCATCCCATGATGTTCATGTTTACCGTGCTGCCCTAGAGGTCAAACGACAGGAACTTTTCAGACACCTGACTAATTAAGCACAATTAAAAATTATGGTGAAAGCACACTGCAAAACTATCTTAAAAAAGATGACTTATAACCCTCATTTTCTAACACATTTCGTGAAGTATAAAGCTATGTAAATCACAGAACGCAATTTTACCAAGATGCCTGAAAGCTGCAGGTTTATCCTCTTCAACTGTATCACATGCTGACATGCATGCATTACCGATGACAATTTTATTATATCTCAAAGATTATAATGTTTTTATTATAGCATTTTAAAGGACAATTTATTGAGACAGTGGAAAATCTCATTTCCCAAGGTGCCCTAGGGGGAAATCGCATGACTATATTTCCACGTCATATCATACATAACATCTATCGCGCAAGATGAACATGAAAATTCCAGCATTCTTTGTGCATGCAGTGGGATGTGAAATTAAGATCTACCCATCTTCGTTTTAGAACAAAAATCAATTTACTTGCATTCTATCCCTCAGTCTTAGGATATAAACATTTTTCTTCCTAGTCCACTTACTAGTCGCGCCATGCTTAACTGGAGACCGAAGACCAAGTTCAGCTCCTTTCCTTTAAACCAGCTGACAGCATACGTGTTCTGAGCAACAGCCAGGGACTCGCCACCAATCCTGAACAACCAAAATAAGAGCAAAACTATATTTGCATAGTGTGGGAATGGATATGATACGTCATAGTACATTTGAAGGAGACACTTACCCAAACACAAACCTTCCAAGTTCCATCAACCAAAAGGCATTACATAATGCACCTGCTGCAAAAATAACCTAGGGATGATTTGGACAATTCATATCAAAAGTCAAGCAACAGTAAAAACTGTTAAAAAGTTAAAAAAACAAATACGCATCTTCTGGATAATATTTAAAAGGAAGGGTTTTATAATCCTAACATTGTTCAAAATCAATAAAAGCCAAACATGGTTTTAATTTTGTAAATTACACATTATGACATCTTTGAGAAATATTGAAACTTCATCGATAGAGGATTAACCTTACTCTTTAGCTGGAGAAAAATATCACAAGTACTTACCTGTCCAAAGCAGACGAAGAGACTAAAGATTATTGTACCTAACCTGAAAAGGACACATTAAGGAGGAAAAGTTTTACTGTGCAAAAAATGAAAAAAATATATATTTTACAGAAAGAAGAGGCAAGGCTCATTCCAAGCCTCTTATATAGTGATGTAAATCAAACTGTTACCCTGTTCGCTTAATTTAACCTCTTCTCTGTGCAATATGCTAGACCAGCAGCCTGGACACTTGCTGTGTGGCTCAGTTCTGGGGACTGTGCAACATAAGAGATTTGAATCTTATTCAGAGGCACACTGCAATAGCAATAGCCCCACTATGGTGGTGTTAATCTATGCTGAACGGGGTCATGTTGAATTCTCCTGCAGCGGGAGGCCAGCCTTAAGCCATGGTGGAATTCCCCACTGTTTCCGGTTCGCGGCTGGGAGGAGTCAGAAGCATGGTGACTGAAACCCCCCAGGCTAAAAGCTGCAATCACCATCAATAGATGAGAATATTATAACCAACTTTTACAGGAAAGTTATTCAGGGCATATAAGGCTGGAGACGATTCAAAATATCATTTTGAATTCAGTCCTTTGTGCAAATTATACAAAACATCACCGTTCTTTTTTTGATATGGTCTGAGCGCATTGAGATTCACTCTGAAAACATGCATTGAACCTCAGCACCTACCTGATACCGAAAACCCTGTCCAACAAAAAGCCTCCAAAGAAGCAGAGCACAACATTCGGCCAGGAATACCATGCATACAACTGCATGAACTTAGAAGTGTTGAGTTGCATATCCTGCCAGGAAGATAAATAAATACCATATCAAAACAAAATTACTTAAGACGTATAAAGCATCATAATTTGAAAACCTCGTGGTTGCTGAAATCAGAATTGACCGCTTTAGTTCTTAAAGTAGATCAAAACATCTCAATCATGAGTTACCAAGCACTCACAGGCCCTAACAATCACAAGAGAAGTATCGTGGAGATGTAAACATGGACTAAGCTATTACACCTAATTAATGGATTATCCTGTTTTATAAAGCTTGAGTACATGCATCTGCAACTTGACAGAGCATTAAAGAGACCAAGGTAAAAATGCAGTACAGGATATACAATCTACAAGTCAATGAAAATAATCTGGAGCATGGTTGGAGACTGGTTGATTGATTTAGAACACTTCTGGTGTTCTTTGTAATGGGTAACAGCATTCCACTAACTAGGACATCTACTTCTCCACTGAACTACTCACTCATCACACATGGACAACCTGAAGTGCAAAGACAATGCACATTAATGAACCCAATATGGCAGAACACCTGAATGTTAATATACGTTTAAGAAACACTTCACAATTTAGTTAGGCCAGATTGTGCAAACCCAGCGTGGAATGTACCCAGAACACCAGGGTTAAACTGTGGAGATGAGGGTAAAATGAAAGGGCAATATGCTTGGTTACCATAAAAGGTGTCTGTAGAAAAGGTAGGATGCTCATTAAACAAAATTAATGTTGACCCGATTAAAAGCAAAGACTTCGGCAGAACAAATCTGTAAATCTGATGATCCGAGAATGTCGGCTAATGTTAGCACATATAACAGTATAATGGAGAACTAAGCTAAATTTCCACCTCTATTATTCAGGTACTTGGAGGAACCCATTTCTGCTTGTGCAAATACAGCAGAAGCTGTCAAGTCCATCAAACTCAAATGATTCTTTTATCCTTTTTAGTGTTAGCTGAATTACATGGATCAGAACAGTTAAAAAGAAAATGTGGCAACTGTGTAATCTTCTCCATGTGACTGTTTGCTTTGCTTTGACTTCCAGTCAGAACTAGAAGGGGTGAGTATGTTTAAACACTTTGTGGAACAAAAACGTTACGCCACAGACACTGGTCAGGTACTTGATTTTCTGCCAACAAACCTTAATGAAAAGTATAACATTTGATGGACTATTGACTTTATTATAATCATAATGTCTGATATTTGCTTAAATAAAATTGGCATCAGTTCTTTTTTCAATAGGACAAAGCAAAATCTATTTAGAAATAAGGCTTGCCCCAAGAGACAGCAAATCTATTTAGGCCCTTTATACTATTTAATGTGGTTAAATAATTTTCTGAAAACAGCCTAAGTGAATGCTGGAGGGTTACATGAATGACAACACCCATGGTAACGATACCTGCAGTTTATACAATGAAATCCCATCCTATCAGCAGATGGGACTATAGATCAAGGCTACTCAATCTGCAATCTCCTGCAACCAGTTCTTTGCTCTATTGATCTAGCTAATTATCAATTAAATTAAGGAGTTAGTTGTAGCAAACGTCAGTAATGGAGTGGATTGGAGTTGCCCAGATTTACAGACTCAAGCAAATTGAATAAGCCAAAATGATTTAATTTCAATCTACAAAATATATTTGAAATCAACTAGGACCTTTAAAAACTTTACAGTCCAGAGTTTCTTTCCATACTCTGAACCAGGGATGGGAATAAATCAGCAAGTCCTCTGCCTTCCTTTCTAATTCGTATCTTAATTACTTGATGGTACTAATTACAAGGATAAGGTAACATTTTTGGGCTTCATCAGTGTAAATTAAGGGGTCTTAAATTCAGTTGCTGGAGGGCCTTGTTTCTTCTGGTGTTTGTGTTGACCTGAGTAGTCAATTAAACAACCTAATTATTTTCTGAATTAGACATATATAGGATTTTTCTCGAGGTCTTTACAATTGACTGCACAAGATATTCACTTCATTAAGGGAACAGTTACCTGTAATTAAGCTCAGAGCCTGAATAGAAGGTTTATAATTGTGCAGCTAATTAAATAGAGACCAACCATGTAACAAGAGAACGTGGCATGAACAAAAAAACAGAAGACACCACACCCTCCAGGAACTGAGTTATTGAAAAATACTCTGGCTCTCAGGGATTAGAGACACAATCGTGTTTCATATCAAGTGAAAAGTGACATCTTGGTCTTTGTCGGCTTTGAAAAACTTTAATTGAATTTAATACCATACAGCCAAAAACTTCAGAATAGAAAAAAAAACATACCAATACAATACTGCTACCTTTATCACCCTTGTAAATACAACCACTCTCTCTACTTAGAACTCCTGTAATTTGCTAAATCCACACATATTCAACAACACTGGACATGGGCACAGAGAGGCAATTTCCCCCCCAATACAAAAACTTACCTGTATGACCTGAGTCTGAAGTGCTGCTGGATTATCATAGCAAAAGTAGCTACCTGCAAGAAAAAGGCTTGATCCGTCAGATTGTGCTCTTAATTTGAAGGGCAAAAAGGTCTATTCCTGACTGGCATCCTTTATGAGAGGTGTTAGTGGGGCCAGCAGGGGGCGCTCATCCTGCGGTCCATGTGGGTCCTAATGCCCCAGTATAGTGACGGGGACATTATACTGTAAACAGGCGCCGTTGTTCGGATGAGACGTAAAACCGAGGACCTGACTCTCTGTGGTCATTAAAAATCCCAGGGTGTCTCTCGAAAAGAGTAACCCGGCGTCCTGGCCAAATATCCCATTGGCCCTTACCAATCATGACTTCCTACTAATCCCCATATATGAATTGGCTACATCACTCTGCTCTCCTCCCCACTGAGCTGGTGTGTGGTGAGCGTTCTGGCGCACTATGGCTTCCGTCGCATCATCCAGGTGGGGCTGCACATTGGTGGTGGTGGAGGGGAGTCCCCATTACCTGTAAAGCGCTTTGAGTGGAGTGTCCAGAAAAGCGCTATATAAGTATAAGCAATTATTATTATTATATTGCTGAACTCGACTCCTCTCCTCAGATGAGGACAGGGCCATTTGAAAAGGGCACCCGTTATGAAACGCCACAGAGCACTTATGAGATGTGAAAGAAGGCTGCGCTTAGTGAAACTGCAGCCTAGTTTTACCACAAGAGCAGTGCACCTAGATTTGTGCAAGGTCAACAGTTGAGCTCCGCAGTTCTCCAGCCTACAATTTGTACGAAAGCACAGGAGTGCAGGTTTACTGCAACACCTTCACCAGGCTTTTTCTGCAGGGATGGATTCCCAAAGACTAAACACTTAAGCTCTCTCCAGCCATGCACAGGGCAAGAACAGCAGTGTCAACACCTCCTGCTTCACCAGCACAGCATTGGGGATTCACAACAGTCCAGTGTTTCACAATCCTGATCATTTTGGTTTACATTCCAGGTTTTCTTGGTTTCACTTTTGATTCCTTAATTAACTGAACCAAAGTGGTTGGATCTGTTTGTTTTGTGCTCCTTAAAGGCTGAAAAGGGTAAGGTGGCTTATGAATTTTTAAGAGGTACCTTAAACAATGAAGAGTACTCTGAGCCCCGTTGTATCTGCATAACAGTGTGCACGTTAATCACTTTAATGATAGGACTTGAAGGGCGGTGAGTCTGCACGGTTTTGTCGCGACTGCTTGTTGTCTTGTTTGTGAGCATAGACTTAACACCTCCAACTTTTTTTACAGGGCAGAATAATACGTATATTGGACTTAAATAAGCGTTTACTGTGTTAACAGGTTATTTTGCTGCCCACTTAAGTTTGCCATCGAAACTTATTGTTGTTATAGTTACGTTTTCAGTCAATCAAATTACCAGTTGTTTTATTTGTAAGCAAACTAGATTATCCAATCAGTGGACTTTAGCCGTTTAAACTCTCACGTCTCTCGTAAGCGTAATTTAACGCCTTAATTTTTAAAAAACTTAACATATCATGCAATGTATGTGATGTGTTGGGACTCAGACCAAAGTCTTAAGTCGCTTTCGAAACGAAAATCATACACCGGACTCACCGAATCCTAAAAAGCACATGAAGATCAGAACCACAATTCTGTGCAGTAGTGTGCTAGGATCACAGATAGACGGCATCCGTCTTCCTGGACCACTGCCATCTCTGTCATCAGAGAGGGAAGGATCTGCAACTTCAGAATTATCTTCATCTAGAAGACCCCTCCGCTCTTCCCTCTCCGCCATCTTTCACCTCCTATGGCGAACAGAAAGACACGATCAGTCATATGACCAGCCGGAACACGTGGCAGTCGTCCGCGCTCAGCTGACTTGGGTGAACGTGCTGCGGTGCAGTTCTGCAGTTAGCCCGCAGGAACATTTGTCGGGTTTGTGAAAATTTTCTGCAAAAAAAAAAGAGGTTGTTTGCGCAGCGCGCCTCCACGGCCGTGTAAAACATTATTAAAAAATTCAAAGTTTATTCTTCGAAAGGCTGGCAAAATCAAAAGTAAGCTTGTTGTGTCTGAGTGTTCGCGTTTCAAACGGTAGCTCTCCGTTTATTTCTTTTACTACGTGAATAAGGCGAGTTGCCTCTTTTTCAAATATTTAATGCTTGATAAAAGAATGTAGGATACAAACAACACCAAACGTGTGCTCGTGGCTGTTGGATCAGACTGGTTGCCAGTGTCCTAGTTAACAACTGAGCTAGCGACCTATTTCTTATTCAGGGATAACAATGCCCTTTCCCTTGTAATGTGTCAAATTCCCACAAATCAGGTTTAGAAACTGATTGTATTCGTTGTTCTGGCATGTTTTGCAGCTATTCAGTAATAGGTAAGAGGTTTTCCGCACTAAACAAATGCTTAAACACTTAAGTTATATGTACAAGAGAAGGTGCACAGGTGCTACACTAGTACCATTTGAACTAGTTTCTGTGGCGAAGATCTCGTAAAGACAGACCTTCCCTAGAATAAATTTCAGCAGAAGTTAGCAACAGCTTTTTAATGATCTGACATGAGCTGGTTTAAATTGTTCACCATTTAAGTTTTAGTATTTATCTAATAATTATGCAGCATTTTCTGTGAAACTATCAGTTGAAACTTAGTGTCTTTTCAGAATGCTACTAAAGAACCTGGAAGATTTTTTTTTATGGATGTAAAGAAATTCGTTTCACAAAGGTGGATACAATTAACAAAAAATAACCAATGAATCTGGAAGAGTAATATAGAGTAAGCATGCACTGCTATATTCTGTGTTCTCATTCACATTCTGGTGTCTTCCTGGAGTTGGTATTTTTATACAGGCAAAGCAATTCTGGTCTATATCATTTCCATGAATGCTATTTAATCTACCCACAATTCATTCTACCTGAGTCATCTGTCAAAAAATTTAATCTCGGCATGACAAACAGGCCTTCCTCCTGGAACCCTATGTAATCATGTTGTAGCTCATTAATTCGAAGCCTAAATATAATCCTTTTGCCTGGGAGGGGAGATCATATTTCATTATTATATTAATCAGGGCTTGGGATAGACATTACAGTAAATCACTGGACAATCCGGTGAGGTAATAAATTACTGAGTCGTTTGTGAGTGGTGAACCCATTTTGAGCTGAAATTGCAAAGTAGCACACTGTAACTTGCCATGCTGTTGTGTTCAATTTCTTTAAAAATCACCCACATATACTGTTAGAAAATATACATTTGTAAATTACTGCAATTGTACTTAATCGTGACACGTCCATATAACAATGTACATTTCACAGCTCATCAGTGAATTAAATTTTTTCAGAGCATTTTTCATGACACTAACACAAGATAAAAATCTATTTAAAATTTACCAATTACTCATACATATCGGGCAATGCAAACATAAATACAAAAATAAAAAATAAGGACTAAATTGGGACTTTTTTCATTGTAATCTAAAAAGATTATACTAGCACAGTGAAAGCTGGAATACTTTTGCTATAGATATCCAACTACATATGTATCTATGTAAATAGGCCCTGTGATAAAATGTTATCCTGCAAGAACAGATGTAATCCACACTAATCTCTGATTATGTAGCTCTATATCTGAGATTTTCATTTTCCCTGCTGCACTGACGTCCTGCCCACTTGATATGAGATATTACCAGTACCATCATGTCCTTTGAATTGCAGATCATTTCTACCACAAACAAAGATGCTGCACTGGGATGTGAAATACTGCTTTTATATTTTCCATTCTGCGTGTCGCTTTCTAGAAAACATGTTTTAGAATTCATCGTTGCCCTAGCTTTTATCTGGCCTAATCAATTTTTCTTTTTTTAATACAAGGCTAATCAAGGCTAATACTTCACTTGGTGAAATAATTTAATATGGGAGCTTTTTTATGTGATTGAAATCCATTGTACAACCCGATTTTCTTCATAAAATCAAGCCCAGTGGCTGTTCAGGAATGAGGAATGAATTGGTTCCCAGGTTTATGCTACTTTTATGTAGAAATTAAATGCAACAGAAATACTGATTCTGCTTAACCGTACAAGAAAAATCCAACATTATAAATGGGCGATTACTCACTAAATGGGAATGCTTTACTGACGTGCCCAAGGCAGTCACCAGCGTTACACAGTGTTAAGCCCACACAAATTTTACTGACAGTTTCAGAATAAACACACTTGCTTTCAAACTTGAGTACCTGTTTATTCTGCGAAGTCTCTTGAGAGAATCAACATGGCTTGGCAGTTTCACTGTTTCTGCTTGCTGGCTGTCTAAAATGTTTATACAAATATAGGTGGTAATGGACTCCATGAACAATGCAGTGTTTAAATCCCGTGTTCTTACAATATTTTTATTTAATCTTTAAGTAAATAAATATTGATATAGTGAGTTTCATGCAAAGCAATCATCCAGTGTACTCACTTGACTATTTCAAAGAGACAGCCTGTTTTATTTTTCAATGCAGGGTGTGCAGAATATGGAAAGGTAAAAACAAACATGCCTCAGAATATCAGAACTTTTCTCCCGTAGTGATTAAATCCATTGTCTTTCTCTAACAGACCAAATCTGAAGAGTGAAGGTACTGAAAAAATCTCTGTTACACCAAGGACACATTCCCACACGCTCTCTAGACCAGGTTTGGCCCTTGGTTGCACAGTATCGAGTAGTCTTCGCAGGTTAGTATTTTAATTCTGAGCTTTCTTGACTTTTGTGCCATCTAGTGTTTGGTTTGCAAAAACATCTGCACTAATTATGAATGCTCAACATAAAGTCTTTCTAGTGGATTAATCACATAAATAGCAGCTTTCTATATATGTATTATGAGGGCATTAAGTTAAAAAATGTATCTTATCTTATCTTTATAACTCTAATGATAAATTACAAGGCATTCTTGAATACCCAGAGCATTCTGACTCTGCTTAAGATCACATTGACTACAATGCATTCCTGAATACCCAGGGCATTCTGACTCTGCTTAAGCACAAATTGACTACAATGCATTCCTGAATACCCAGAGCATTCTGACTCAATTGCTTAAACAACAAATTGACTTCAGTGCATGCCAAACTGAATCAGAACTATCAAGCATGGCAGCCTTACCTTATCTGGTGGTGATATTGATCAATTCATATGCCATTATAAACTAATTAGCTGCCTGCCAGTAGGCAACAGAGAACGTGTTGGCTGCACATTTTATCTTCAGCAGAACTATTAGTACACCAGATTACTAATGTATGAAGATTGTTTGGCAAGTAAACATTATTGTCATTAGAAAGAAAGCCCGATTCATAACCTGACCTCGCCCTACATGAAATAGGAAGATTTATAGTCACTCGCTGTCTCTTTATTTGATTTGGACTGACGAGTTCCCAGGGTTACCGCTGGTTTACTGAATTCGGTCCAACTGGATAGACGTCAGTCATACTGTATGTCCAAATAGACTTACTGCAGGGCTCGAATCCAAAACTAATAACAAAATCCATAGCACTTATACCCAACATTATTTTTAAATATGTTTCTTTATACAGTATATATAATTCAATACATAATGCAATCTGTATAGATTACAGATACAAATATAATAAGTAATTCTCTTATCAAAGGAGATCTTTTTTTAACCTGCGTTATTCCAATTCATTTCCTCAATGTTTTAAATTATGCTCACACAGCTCTTACCCGACAATAGTTAGAAAACTGTTTTCAAAACCAATTATCTTTCCAACTCTTCCCCAGTTCATTATTTATGCCCTCAAGGTCCAATGCCATGAATCCTTGCTGTATACCACCTTGCCTGCCTTTCTCAGGCTGGGTGATACAGTATACCTGCTGCTCGGCTGTGGTGCAATGAATACGTACGCTCAGACATCCGTTACTGGATTCTGTTGGCCACTTCATGATAGATTTTCTTCTTTGGATTTCTCTAATGTGTGATTTGACTTTTTAAAAAATATATCTAATAATATTAAAAAAATAATTTTAATTAAAAAAATGTTATAGTTTATTTACAGTACATTACAGTGTTTTTCTTCAAGCTAAAAAAGCTAAAGCAAACCTTTGAAATCAGTGCTGTCAAAAACTAGAAAGAAAAGAGCAAATGGAAACTAAGAGGCGACGAGCAGGTCTTCTTGGAGCTGGGGGAGAAAAAACACCAAGTTATGGATGGGGTAGTTTCTGTTATGCTGTGCCCCAGAAGCAAAATTAATTAAGCAGTGTGATTAAAAAATCAAGTAACTGAGATATCACTGACATGTTTATCATTATTTGGCTAACACCTTTGCTGAAAGCACCTTACATTTCTAAATACTATATATAAACAGGTGGCCATTTTACTGCAGCAATCTGAGTGAAGTACCCGCTCATGGATAAAACAGCAGTGTGATCTAGGTCAGTGAACAAACACCTCTGAAGTGCACACTGTTGCTCTCACACACTTGCACAAGTTGTCTTATCCCAATTTAGTAACTTTACAATGACCTCGCTAAACTGAAACCAAACTTCAAGCTACACGATCAAAACAGCAACATATATTTGATGTGACACAATTTTGCAATGAGGGTGTCTAACTTACTCAATCTAAAAGTCTAAAAAAGTGAAACGAAAGAAAAACTTTTCTTTATGCGGAATAAAGTAGTGACATGAACACTGGATTTTGCAGTCAGTGTTCTGTGTACACAAAGTACTGTACTGTATATGAAATTGGACCCTGGACTCATGTGAAAAAGGTGGTAAATTCTGAGGGGCCATCTCTCACGCAGTTGAGGGATAGGCAGCCGATCATATGACCTGATAAAATGTTCAACTGAAAATCTTTAGCATGTGTTGTGAGGAGACCAAACAGACTGGCCGAGGCACAAATTAAACAGGCTTGAAGTGCACAAACAAGATTTCAATGAGACCAAGGAGGAGAACGAGCCATTAGAAAGAGATGGAAGGGCTGCCTTTGCGTGTTGTTTTTTTTTGTGTCACAATCTGCACTTAAGGAAACAAAACTGAAGTGACTGAGAACTGAACAGTCACCAGAAGCAAAAACAAAGGGACCAGGCCTGAGGTCTGACATCTGGATGTGGAGCCTGGCATCTGCTCAGGAGCAGGAAATAACACTTTGTACCAAGTGAGGAAAATGAAGCCAAGGCTCCATCGCAGGATGTGTAACATTCCCTTTCCCCGACAACAAACATGGCAAAAACAGATGGGGGAGAGGGGAGAGGGGGGAGGGGCAGCTCCCGAGCCAACTGTGTGAGAAACGGGGTGGAAAAGCACAAACAAAAAAAGTCAATCTGGGGAGTGTCAGCTTCCCTTATCCAGCTCAGGAGGAATCTGACTTTCTGACGTCAGCAGCAGAACTATTATAACTGGAAATCCTCTGAGGTCGGGGCCGTGTTGAGGCTCCAGTTCTCAAGATGCGCTGGGCTCTGTGTGTTGCTCTGGGACTGCTTCCTCTGGTTTGTGGGCATCCCACATCGGGAACCGGCCAGGAAGAACTCCAAGACGCCGACCCACTTCGCCTCCAATCTGGGTCCACCAGCGGTAGAGCCCATGAGGTCCCAGCAGAAACCAACCCCCTCCCCGAGGTAAGCAACTGCATTCTCGTTGGCTGAAGCCTGTTTTGTCTTCTTCCTCGCCTAATAAAAGTGCCTCTGAAAACAACCGGCACTCGCTGAGAAAAACACGCACCAGCTTTCGCAAAAACACAACCTGACCCTTTTCAATCAGGACAATGCACAGGAAAAGAAATGGACTTCCTCTCTGTTGTAGGATCCAGAAGAGGTACAAAATTGCATAATTTGCCAATGACAATCACAGGCGGGTAAGAAGAAAAGATCTTTTGTTTCTCCAGAGAAGGATACATTTGCAAAACAAATGCCCCTCCTGTTGAAACGTTGGGTAATACTGAAGTGCAAATGCAAAGAAGGGATTAGTCAATCCCCAAATTTTCATAAGTGGTTTGTTCCTCTTTCGAAGCAAAGAAGAAAAATTAAAAACCAAAACAGAGCTGACGCCCTTAATTTGAAACATTTTCCCATCTGTAGTTCATCTAGTAGTTTAATTAATATATCTTATTGTATTGTATTTGTCAAAATATCATTTTGATTGTTGTTGAATCAGATTCACCCAAATGATTATTGTGAGTTCACGTTTTTGAGCCAAGATAGAAAGCTTTTATAATTGTACAAGTGCAATATTTAAAGTTTGCTGAAAATGCATTTTGGGGAAAAAAACACTTTTTAGGTTTATGGTCATTCATTTTTAACCAAATTACATAAGACAGTAATCAAAACTCTCTTTTAAGTTTGTATCAAAATTAGACTAATGCCATATACATTTCTAATTACATATACTGTGTGAATATTCCAGATACTATACACACTGTATACTTCATTACCTCAATCCATAAATCACATTTTAAAGACATGAAAGATACAAACATTCACAGATTCCCATTTTAAAGAACAAAACATTGATAAAAACTACAGTAGTATTTCCTTAACAACAATTACTACTTCTAACATGCACTAATTCGGTACCTCAGTTTTATTTTCTCAACATTTAAGTAGATAAAAATACAATTGTTGGAAATCATAGTAGTCCATTCTCAATATTGTAACTGTACACAGTCCATAAATCTTTACTGTACATTGTTAAGCCAGGCCTTTAAATGTGTGCTTAATACGAACCTTATTTGTAACAGTAGCACTATGAATTCGAATTATTAAGTAACATTAAATCCTGAAAAAATAAAACTATGAACAGCAGGGAACAAATTCTGATAAACTGTTTTTGAAAACTGATGAAGTTCTTAAAATGGTTTCAGTACAATATAAAGATTTTCTCAACTTTGGAATGGCCTTTACTGAAAATTAACATAATAAGAGCAGAATGAACAATATTTCAAATATTACTGATTTCAATGTTTTCTAGCAACCAGTCTCACAACATACCAGTAACATTTCTTCAAAATGCCATTACTATTCAGTGTCCATAAAATGAAAATAACTGTCCCAACGATTCTTCGGCATTTTCCCCAGGTTGGTGTTCTTCAGCAATGAGATCAATCAGAAAAAAAACATAAACAGGTCGCCAGGTGGTTCAGTTCTTGGCTTTGCCCTTCTTTGAAGGTAGCTGGCCCGTGGATTCTAAATACTTGTGGACAAGTTCTTCTTGTGTGCTGGGCAAACATGGCTGATACTTGCTGTACTCCATTGTGTATTCACCTTTGCCCTAAGTGAAAGGAGACAAACAAATAAATCACTACTTTCTTTATACTGTCAAGTATGTGTCATTCACACAACCGTTGCCAAGAACAGTCCGCTCATGTCTCAAGGAACCAGATACTGGTGACATGGACACTGTTTGATTACAGCTTGTTCTGTCCCTTGTGCTTCTTTCTGATTCCTCCCACAGTCCAAAAATGTGCCGTCCATTTTTGGCGTCTCTAAATTGCTGCCTTGAATGGAGGTGTGTGTGTGCCCTGCAATGACCTGGTGACCTGTGCCTGCTATGATAAAGTTCAACTCACTGTCCCCCCCTAAGGATACTGAAAAAGGATGGATGGAATAAACAGTTTAATAAAACAAGAAAATCTCTGACGACTCAAAAGACATCAACGCTACAAAGCTGGTTTTGATAATATTAGTATAGTGTAATAGTAATATGAGGAACTGTGCTTGCTCATTATACCCTTTTTACAACAGTACTTGACTCCTCTTGTTTATAGGGTATTCTTCATGGAATAACAAACACAAGCAACACACAACGCTACATGTTCGTTTAACTTTTTTTTAACACAAACTTTTTTGAAAAATTGGCTTTACACTAGTTACTTAATCTGAATGTTAAACTCATATATTATCCTCATTCCTCCCAAAAACCATGTACATGTGCAATAGCTTTATGGTACCTTACCTCTGTGCATGACCTGAGTTCAGTGGCATACCCAAACATATCATTTAATGGAACCTACAGAAAGTGGACAATAATTAGAATCACTAATATTATTTGACTTCCTTCAAACAGGTGAATGAGATCAATTAGCTTCAGGCAACCAAAGCTGAGACGGGGCAAACAGCCTCCTCATTTGTTCATATTCATGTTCTTATGAAATATTACTTTGTAAAGCTGCACCCTAAAACATTTTATAAAGAGCAGTGATTAAGTACAGAGTACCACTTAAACTAACTGCTTGCTTTTCCAAAACACTTTAGGGAAATTATACTTTTAAGTTTATCAAATAACTTGGAAGAACCTCAGAACATAATAACAAACTATTTTATACAGCGCCTTTAAAAGGTGGCTTCTCAAAGCGCTTTACAGAATGACAACAACAATAAAAAATACACAAGATATGCACAATGAAAATACACAATGAGAGGAGACAGCAGATGAGGGTACTGAATACAGTAGGAGCAGAGCGGTAAATAACAGAACCAGTTAAGTAAAGGACCTTCTAAAGAAGAAGACTTTGAATTTAGATTTGAAATAGTTTAGGGAAGGGGCAAAACATCTCATAAATGTGTTAATTCCTACAACATGTCAAGCTGGGACTGTAATCAAAGTACAATACAAATCAAACCACAATTTATCTTCTAGTTTCATGCACATATGGGTCATTTCCCATTCGTATGAATGCCATCATGGGAACTATGCTTACATCAGCATAAAGGGTGAAGTAGCCCTCCTGTCCATCCTGTCCGGTGATGAGGCCATGTCGACGGTTAATGCCAGCGATCACTGTTCCCTGAAACTCAGTGGGAGCCACAACTTCCACAGACATGATGGGCTCCAGGACACTCACGTTTGCCTTCTCCATAGCTGGACAGGATCAAGAGCAGGAACAGCAGGGTTACTCACCACAGTCGTCAGATTCGCAACTAATTAGAAAATCCCATCCCCAGTTTCAAATGAACAAAACACCGTGACTCCTTCTTTTCAGGAGCACAAACTAATTGCAACTTGGTCAAAACCTTCCTCATCTTTTGTTATAGCCACTGTTTTCCAGGACTACAAATTTAAACAGTTTTGGAAAGTCTGAAAGCTTAACTGATGAAGCAGCCAATTATTTTAATAAGCGCTTGCAACGTAGAAAGCCATATCTGACTTGTACTTGAAATAATTTTTTCAGTTAAAATACATTTTTTAACAAAAAGGTCATCACATGAAACAGTCTACATCAGCTACTGTACTTCTAATAATAATGTATTTATACAGCAAGTTTTACTCCAAAGCAACTCAAAAGCTGGTTTACAAGTAGGAAGGAACTATTTTCATTCACTACTGAACTACACACCTTCACTAGTTTGCAGTAATAAAGCACAACAAAGCAGAGAAGTGAAAGTGCCGCAGGCAGCAGAGTTGAGAGTTCAGAAGGCTGCTCCTACCCTGCTTGAGAGCTCCTTCTCCTGCTCTGATGAAGGCGATCTCATTGGAGTCCACCGTGTGGTGAGCGCCATCGTCTAGCAGGAAGCGCACACCGGAGATCTTGTGGCCTGTCAGAGGGCCTTTCTCACAGGCGTCCCGAAATCCCTGCGGGCAGTATGAACAACATGCTCCTTCACAATAAAGCTGCACAGAGGACGGACACCACCACCCTTCCAGAATCTGCCATGAGTATTTCACACTGTACTGTTCCAAAGTTGCTGATAAGGCATTTAGAATAAACAAAGGTATAGAGCATTTTTCAGAATTAAAAAATTTTGAAAGATTTTGAAAGCAACAAAAATGTTTACAAACATTTGCAAACATTTCAAACTGCATATAGACTGATTAAAAATAAAACAACATCCAATTATAGGACACTACAAAATCATAGTATAGTTTAGTACAGTATGCCTATATAGGGAGGCTTAACAGTCTTTTTTAGTTTATTCTGTGTTAACTAGGTCTGACTTGGAAATATTTGTTTCAGACTTACTGCACTGTTATTATAGTGTAACACAATTTGTTTGAAAACTGTATTAAAAAATATATATGACTACACAAGGGCTGATTAGCTGTAAAATAAAATAACTAACAAGATTTTATCCAAAACAAAAAAAAAATTGCCTTTTCAATTGCAGGCATAAACTGTTTTGGTATATTTGTGCCGACGGTCTGGTCAACAAACTCCACTTTGGTGTAGCCATCTGGCCCCAAGGCTTCCAAAACTCCAACGACTTTCCCATACTGCCCTGCTCCACCAGACTGCTTCTTGTGCGTGTAATCGAACCTGGAATTCACAGACACACAATTGATATTTTTTCTCATTGGGATCAAACCTTTTTACCACACAAATTGAAAGTGAGTGGAAAACTGAAAAAAAGCTTTATATTTATATTATGTACCTACAGCATGGTGCCCAGTCCTGATGTGCCTGCAGGCTTTCTAAACCTCTTTCAATCTCCTGGCACCTGGGGAGCTGGGATAAGTTGGTACATCACTGTACTTAAGCCCACAATATGCTCATTCAGGTTATTAAGAGTCAGGTTGAAATGAAATCTTGAAATCACATGAGCTCCTTCAAATATGGATTAGACACTCCCGATCAACTGACAGGTTCCTGTATAACACATCTTTCAAATATTTAGATTGATATGGAGTTCTGCCATTAGAAGCCTTTTTAACACAATGCAAGAAAGCTAGAATATCTGTTGAAATGACACCAACTTTAAATACACCTTTAGCGCTGAGCTGACAGAGGAACTAGAGAAGATATTCAGATCCCTGTGGACGAATTAAAACAGTGCCTGTGTCTTTAAAGAGGCCATCTTTGTGGCGAACAGTCTGACTAAGCCTGTGGAGCAACAGGAAGTTACATCAAGCAATGTAACTAAAGCAAAAGGAGCCCTTTGCTGGAGTTGCTGTGGCTAGGAATTCTGCTCAAGCATGGGGTGACACTCTGGTTGGTTTTTTTCCCCCATATGAGCTGCACAACATTTCGCAACCTTTTTCACAGAGCCTGAAAAGAGGGGAGAACAAAGTCCATGTGTTAGTGGACACACCTAGCTCAGGACAGAAACTTCGTTTTCCTTTCCCAGACCACAGAGGTGAATCCAGCTATGCCTGTGGAAGAGCTCAACCCGTCCCATTACCAAGCGAGCCGTGCTGCCAAGGTGGCGGAGCACTACCTGAACTACCACTACGGCTCCCCTTTCAGAAGGTTTATTATTCGTCAGGTTAAAAGGGCCACTTTAGAGGTAAGAGCGTGTACACACTTCACTTGAACTGCAGATACACCCTGAAGCCCATCTTGGTCACAACCGAGTGGGTAGACAGTGAATATCTCTCTTAAGTTTTAGTATTGAAAACATCACAAATTAAATGCCAGGCAAAATTTGCTAAACTCATTAAGAAAATAAAATGTTTTTAATTCTGTATGATCTTGCCAATCTTGCATTCTGAGTATAGCCTTACACTATTTAAAATGGGAAGCAGGAAGACAGGTTTATTGTACTTCTTTAAAAATATATACAACTCATACAATACAAATGTACTTTTTGGTGTGGGGTGATTTTTCAAATGTTTGAAACTGGAATTTTTTTAATTCGATTTTAAAGGTTTTGCCAGTTCTTGTACTTATCCATTATTTCATGAATCTTAGGAAATTCCTACAGGAGCAGCAAGGTATCACATTGAATTTTCACTGGAAGAGATGGTCAGCAATGTAAGTTTTTTTTATTGTAGATCTGATTTCCTCACAAATAAGTAGAACTTATAATATTTCTGCCTATAGCATTACTCCTGCTGTAGTTCTGTACATTTTGCAGCTCAGCTCCAGACCAAGGTTTAAAGTTGTTACTTGATCAGTTAAAAAGAGGTGGTAAAAAGAATTGCTTCAGGCTAATGTTGGATTACTAAACAGGCTGCAGTATTGCAATGCACTCCAAAAAGTACTATGGATATATCTTAAATAGTATTATTACATTGTATTCGGAGACCAAATACTTTAGTAATGTATTATAAAGAGTGAATATGCCTTTAAGGATGCCAACCAATCTCCCCTAATTATCTAAACATTATTTTTTTGGTTAACTTTTTCCATGAGGAAAAAATACAGTTTAATGTTCCTCTGCTGAAGAAAGTGGAACACATAGAAAACTCTATTTGATTTTTCTCTTATGGTACTGTATATCTCACTCAGTTACCAAGCAATAGCAAAACAATATTTTTTCCCCTCTGTAGTTTTCCATGTGTTTATCTTTCACAGACAACCATTGGAAACTGTGCCGCAGAAATAGTTTTTGAGAGAACTGAGGAGCAGAAAACTCCTCAAGTTCAATGCACTTGTGATGACCTCCTGAAAATAAACACTTCTGAAGCAGAGAACAGTTTCTTCCACCAGATCAAGAAAAGTTCTGCCCTTGTATCTGGCCAGTACATTCCAGGTACTGAAAGTTGATTTTTAAAATAATTGATTCTATATTAAATATTGAGAACACGATATTATATACTACTCTTAAGAGGGCTCTGTGCAAAATAAACTTACACATACACTATCAGTTTACGCTGATGTATGTAGAAACACTTCTTTTAAGTTTCCAACAGATTTAGAAAGGAGTACTTATTACTAAAGGGTATTCTCTCCTCAATTAATAATCTCTTCAATTAATGAAAAAAAATCTCATTTTAAATAATTTGCCCAAAAGATCTAGTTCTGTTTAAATATTTACACTTGGCACATAAACCATGAACAAAAACAAAGAAATGTAATGAATGATTACTAAAGAACCCAATGCTATGTCTATCGACAGACAGCTATGGATTCACTGCGCCGGAAATGACACCCTTGTGGCACCTGGGAGGAGTGGCCGCAAGCTTTGTGATGTTGAAGGAATCCAATGAATCCACACTATACAATATGGCGCAAATCCTGAGCCTACAACAGCAGGCAAGCCTAACACGTGACTGTCGGACCTTCGGGAGCAGCAGAGGCAGAAGCAAAGAAATTGTATCTTTCAGAGTAACGCATAATGAGGGGCGGAGCGGTGGCTCTGTGGCTAAGGATCTGCGCCTGTGACTGGAAGGTTGCCGGTTCAAATCCCGCGGCCGGCAGAGGAATCCTACTCCGTTGGGCCCATGAGCGGCGCCCCTGCTAAGGCACCTGCGCTCAATGGCAGTACAATGCCAGGCCCTGCGCTCTGACCCCAAGCTTCTCTCCCCGTCTGTGTCTCCATGGAGAAAAGCTGGGGTATGCGAAAAGACGAATTCCTAACGCAAGAAATTGTATAGGGCTAATAAAGAAACTAACATTATCATTACATTATTATTATAATGCCAGTAATCAATCACTGGCATTAAAATAGAAGTTTTTTTCCCCCTTGTCTATTCACAATGAAGCCAAGATCTCCATAAAAGATCCCAGTTTTAGTACCAGTTAAAGCACTCACTTTTCCAGATTGAACCCTGATATGCCAGGTGAGTTCAGCATCTTACAGCAAGCGCTTCATGTAAAAGGGTTTGTGTTCAAGACAACACTAATTACAGTACCTGCACCAATCTAAGCACATTCTGGAGCTCTAAGCACCATGTGCTCTGTTTCTTTTACAATGTTTTTCTTTTCATTTGAATAGGAATCAGAAGGCGAATCCCTTGAATTTGACTATGAAGTCCTTCTTCATGAGTTCATATCACAGGTAAATCAACTAAGTATCAATTAAAGAAGAAAAAACAGTACTGAGTTTTATCCTGTAATGTACTGATCACTGTTCTGTATGTGTTACAGGAAATGATCCAGTGGCACATGAAGGTTAACTGGAGTCCGACAGAGGGAGTAAAAGTAACTCAGAGTAATTTGCAACCCAAACACCATGACCACTCGCCAACGACAGAAAACCCAGTCATCAATTCCTCCAGCACCTAATGTTCTTAAAGTCGCTACTGGGAAAAGACCTCAGGCCACCCTGGCAGTAGCATACAAAGCTGACATAGTAATGCATTAATTACAAAAATAACCTTGGAAACAGAAGCCAATACTGAGAAATTAACATCTGATGGTCTATGTAGAACAGAATGTCTAATAATTATTCTCTAGCCTTCTTAGCACGTATAGATATGAATTCCAACAAATGTATTGATTGCAAAAGTACAGAAATAAATACCAATAAATTCAGGGATGTGATGTGAATTATTAGAGAGATTGTACTTTTCTTTTTTGTACAAGATTGTTCTGTCATGTTTGTACCAAGAAACACAAATAAAATATATCTGCACTGTAGAAACGAGGAAGAAAAATGAATTATGTGGCAGCTGGAGAAGGTATCTAAACTAAGATAACTAAAGTAATGTATTAAAACTCTGCTTCTAATGTTATAAGACTTACGGTACGTTGGATGAGATAGTTTCTCTGAAGGCAACCTTAGGTTTTCCCATCACACAAGGACAGCTGTACTCTCTTTCCATTCTCTAAAGACAGTGCAAGGGAACATATTAACTGCTTGCATTTTTACAGATATATAACCAAATCATCAAATGCCCAATTTGATCCAATTCAAACTTTGAGAGAACTTTCCCCATTAAGAAAAATATTATTGGAATAGGACTGGAAACTTTTACAGGAATACGTGACAAATGCCTTTCTCTTTCCCTGGCTAGAGCAATCCCCAGTTTGACTGTTTGACTTGTGGGACGCAGAGCTCAATATGTCGGCCATTACTCTCATCACAACCTCAACTGGGGGTCATCTTGACAGGGCAGCAGATATTTCAAGGCCTTGTGGAATACATCTTACGTCCTCGGGTTAATGGGTGGACAGTCCTAGAATGTTCAATAGGGAGTGCATTCCAGTGGAGGATTGTAAAAAGAGAAGCTTCTTACCTGGGAGTAAATCTCAAGGTGTAGCTCCCCCATTCCCGAGATGATTGTTTCCCTACTCTCTGGATCATAGTGGACTCTGAAAGTTGGGTCTTCTCTGGTAAAACGGTTTATTCCTTTGGAGAATTTGTCTAAGTCGTTCTAAAACAAAGATAGAAGCTTTGCTTTTATTGAAAGCTTGTTTCCCCAGGAGCATTTATCAAAAACATAGAACAAAATATTCTATTTCTTACTGAGGATGAACACCACAAGCAGGCTAGTTCACCTCGAGAGATGAGTGGTACTCTATATATATTGTTCCAAGTGATAATTTTATTATTAAATGACATGACTGAACAATCCACCCATTTAGCTGATCATACATAAATTGTTTCAGGCCTTTGGAAACTGATGATTGAAAAGCTACCTGTAAAATCCACTGGACCATGGTTTGAGACCCCCACCTTAACTATAGGCAACTGGATTCCAGTAAAAAACTTACCTTGTTAGTTGGCCTCATAGCTACTGATATTACTGGTTCTGGAACATGAATAGATTCCTAACAAGAAGACCAAAAATGAGTATTTAATAATGTAATATAGTACAGGACAAGCACATTTATGCAGATCTTTCATTACTGACAATGAGAGCGAAGGTACTCTTTTGTACAAACAATTGGTGTACAAACTCAGGGATTCAGAGGAATTGTCAAAGAAAACTGGAATAGTGACCACAGAGCAATTCACTAGGACTTTTCTCCTACTCACCATGGAGAGATTGGCTGTAGTCTGCGCAGTGAAGGTGTCCCCGCTGGCACAGTCAATTCCAAACAGGGCACAGATATCGCCAGCATACACCTCTTCTACATCCTGAACAAAGTGAAATTAAACTTCAAAATCTTCTTAAACAGAAAACAAGGTTTTCCACGCTTTTGCTTTTTCAGAATAGTACAATTGGACTTCATGCCTTCATGACTTCATGCTTTTTGTCTTCATGCCTCAATAAAATGATTCAACACACAAAAACTACTCTTCACGCTGTCTTAGGTTGATTAAGTTTACTAATGAAGGGAAGGATTAATCAAACTATCAAATGTCATCTGACAAGCATTTGTCTTGAATTTTATCTAAAATTTTTCTAATTTTAATCTGTTGCTTTTGCTAATCCTCCTAATTTGTTATCGCCTTCAAACGTGACTACTTTACTCTCTACCAGAATCTTGTTCATCGATCATTGATCAAATGAGGTAGAGCATTGATCCTAGTACAAGTACAGACCCCTGTGGTACTCCACTAATTACATCACTCCGATCTGAATATCCGCCCCAAAATGGAGACACTGACCTCTTTCAGACACTGAAACTCTTTGGGTGGTGTGATGAAGATCACTCTAATTCTTTAGCTGCCTACAATAAAATGTAACAAGTAACAAGTCCCACCCTTTAATTGATATACTTCTGAATAGGCCTAACAACACACAATTTTAAAACACTGGATCGTACTAACCCACTCTGAATAGTCTACCTTTCAGAGTTAGGACCCTGCTGCCAGTGACAGTGACCACAGGCCTGACAGTAACAAAACACCACTGCAGCGCGGCACAATGCTCTCACGGTCGCTGCCCCACAGCGCGACTCACCTCCATCTGGTCGGAGTGAAGGCACACCAGGCGCTGCACACGGACCCTCTTGCCTGTCCTGGTGTTGTAGATGTACTCACTCTTCCTCAGCACCCCCTGATAAACCCTCACATAGGTCAGCTGCCCAAACCGCCCCGCCTGTCCATGTGGAAGGGGCAAACAACACCTCAGAGAGCGCTTGGATTTAAAGACTGCTCACAGAAAGAACAACAGTGTAATATGAAGAACAGGGAGAAACATAAACAGCTTGTGGAAGAGAAGAGTTAGAATATTTTTTTGTAAATCCAAACTGGGATACTAGATAATACATTTGACAAAGGACAAAGTGAAAAAACTTTGCCCTCATTCAAAGGACTTACTTTTGTTTTTTTACAGTTAACCAACTTACCTCTAATTTGAATGCCAAGCCAACAAACGGTTGAGAGGCATCCCTTGTTGGGTCCATTAAAATTTTAGTAGTCTCATTTGATTCCCTGTTGAACATGGAAAAAAATATGTATTTTTCTTTGCCACAGACACAGTGCTCTTTCAGAAGAGGCCGTAACATTTATACATGCATGTGAGACAAGGAATTGTCCTATAAAGTAGAAGTAAAACGAGTCTCCTGCTGCCTTTGAAATGTGACAGCGTGACTCCCATGTAGCTCAGTCGATAAAGGTGCTCCCTGGAGAGCAGGCTGCGCTTTACGAAGCAGGCGTCATGAATTCGAAGAGCCATGCCACTGGCCAGAGGTTAACTGGGGTTCCCCAAGTGATAGCACACATCATGCTGGGTTCTGGGATCAGGACTGGGACTAGTCAACCAGGGCTCTCAGAGTTGCTCACTACACAGCAAACACATCCTGGACATCTGCAGGCTTGCAGTGCTCTCAGGGAATAAACGTCCTTCTCCTCAAATTAACCCTCAGCGTCTGGTATGGTACCGCGCAGCCTGTGGCAAGCAGCTAGAAGGTAGAAGCTGTGAGCCAAAGTTGAAAACACAATTGGTGATTCCAAATCACTTGTATAAAGAGGAGAAATTGGAACAACAATGTTAAAAATGACTTATTTATGTAGCTGGGAGCCACCATTATTATATATGACAGATACGGTAAGAGCGAAAGCAATATATTCAGGCACATACAATCCTGCGGACAGGATGTCTGTGCTCAATCATTACATCAAGTCAATGCAGTCATGCATCGAAGGTCTGTGCTTGAATACAGAAATCATTACATACTCCGCAACAGCATGTTCTTCTGATTTCTGGAGACTGATGTACTTCCACCCTTTATATTTAGGCTAGAATTTATGGTTCACTGCTCGCACTTAATGTTGCAGAAAATGTTCCCCTACTATGCAGGGGGATGACAAATGGCACCTAATACTTTATCTCATAATCCAGCTATAGCTTATTGAACTGAGAAGACATGCCGGACTCTTACTCTTGGTTGAGGATGGCATAGTTTTGAACCTCGGTGGGATTTGGCAGGTAGTCTAGGACAGCGTCCAGCAGGGGCTGTACCCCTTTGTTCTTCAATGCGCTGCCGACAAGAACTGGGGTGAAGGAGCGCTGGACAGTAGCCCTTCTGATAGCAGCCTGCAAGAAAATGACGATGATGACAATGACCTCGGCCGGGCCTAATGTACATCACACAGTGTTGTCTTACATTTCCACAGCTTCAAGTATGTCAAACTAGAAATAAACCACTGGGCACAGAACCTGGGACGGAGACCTGCATTTCACACTGCGATGTACAATACTGCCCACTCTCAATATTCTCTGAATGCTGCACTTCTCCTTTCAACCAAAAGCTACTGGCCATAATGGAGATGGAATTAAAGAATACAAAATACAAAGGTCTGATGGAAGGAAAATGGCTTCAAATATGGAGAATCTTCCGCTGATATATTAAGCATGTGGGTTCCCTGAGTTTTATCTGTCATCTTTTTTTTACATTGACTAAAAATGCCAACATCAATAAGCTGCTTGAATAAAAATGAGGCGTGTAATTAAAAGACATACTAGACCTTTAAATCGGTGTTTGTGGGCACCCTTTCCTCCAGAAACATCTCTCCCAGCAGCTCATCTGTATTGGCTACACACTCCACCAATTCCTGACGTCGGTCTGCCGCTTCCAAACGGAGATCTGCTGGGATCTCATCATACTGGATATTCTGTCTGTGGAAAGAGTGACATGTCCGCTTTACATCATCATATCACAGAAGAAGAAGCCTCAGGCCTCAGCCTCATATTTATCCAGGTTTATAATGCATCAAGCTTTTTGGGAAGTATCGCTTACATTCTTAGGGGTATATAAAATAAAGATATGAAATCAAACGAAACAATGGTTCCCCACACCTCAGCCTGAGCTTCTCATCTTAAGATTTTGATTTTGCCTGTTTTGTATCGTGGATGACAGACGTCAAGTATGAAACAAGGGAAGATAGACAAGATCACTTCTGAAGGAGAAAACGAGAACCTGACTCAGTGAAGGACAGGCTAAAAATATACCAGTTACCAAAACCCATGTGGGGATTTCTCTTGATTTTGGTCAACCTAACATGAAATACCATGTTAATAACACTTAGGGCAATTAATATTAGTATCTCTCACTCATATGGCAAGTCATATTCAACTCATTCTTCACTGTCCATATGCATCCTTTTAACCAAAAGTATTCACTTACCCAAATGGTCCTTCAAAGTATATGGCTCGTTCTTCAATGAGGTCAATAATCCCTTTTAAATTGCCTTCGAGTCCAATGGGGATTTGGACAAACGCTGCGTTGTGATTGAGCTTGGTTCTGCAACATGGGACGACAACAGCGCCTTTGAATATGGTGCGTTTTTCAAACTGCGAAAGAATACTGTATCCTGTTAGGACACGGCCATAATGGTGAACTGGACAACATGCAGACCCCATACAGAAAGCACTCCAGGCCAGAATCATACCAGGGTTTGAAGCAGCAGCACTGACCCTGCTACCATCCATTTCCTTTGACATGCTTATATCTCAAAACCACATGTAGAAATGACAAGGCATTCAACTGAGGACTGACAATCTTCCTTTGCATCAATATTCATACAGCATGCAACTGCAAGACGAGATTGTTTTAAAACACTAAGGCAGTGTAACACTGCCCTCTAGAGTGACTTCAACTGCAAGTACTCCTGCCGTAACCTACTGCAGTGTCAGTTTGAATATTTCAGAAATGCAGCTGGGAGTCTTCTTTCTGGATGTGTAGAGCATTCACTAGACCTGATCTGTTGGAGAGCTCTGTCCGGGTTGGCCCCAAGCCTGTCCAGCTTATTGATGAAGGTCAGGAAGGGCACGCCGTAACGCTTCATCTGTCGGTTTACGGTCATGGTCTGACACTGCACCCCGCCGACGGCACACAGCACCAGGATCGCCCCGTCCAGCACGCGGAGGGCCCGCTCCACCTCGATGGTGAAGTCCACGTGGCCTGCGAGGACAGGGCCTTGTCAGAGCTGGTCAAGGTGCTGCAACCACACTGCTGTGTGAGTTACGCCGTTATAACAGCTGTAAGAGTTATGATATTAGAACTTATATCATTGAAGTTTTAACTTCAGATTCATTGGAGAATTCTTCTGATTCTGTCCGCAATGCATTTTATAGAAGTAGTTACATAATCTGTCCTACTTAAGACACATGAGGACTTAAATGTGAATTTAAACACAACACACAGAACAAGCAGAG